GTGTAATAACAGTGTTATGATTATAGTACATAGTGTAATTATTAATGTTAAGTGTAATAACAGTGTTATGATTATAGTACATAGTGTAATAATTAATGTTAAGTGTAATAACAGTGTTATGATTACAGTACATAGTGTTATAAATGATGATTATAGTACATAGTGTTATTAATAATGTTCAGTATAACAGTGTTATCATAGATGAAATTAATGTCAACGAACATTGTGTAGAATAAAGACAGAACAAACGAAACCTAACTTTCAACGTGTGGACATTTCTACAGCCCTGGGTTGTAGGGTATTATCTGTTTGTCTTTTGTAAATATGTTATGAACAGTGTGTAATTTAATATATATATATAATAGGTATTATTATTATAACTCATGTCCAGTGTAATAAGTATGGTGTTAAGAGTATACTCTGACGTTTCCAATAAAATACTGGTGTTTTCAACCTGAACTGCGCTTTCTGCGACAAATAGGCTAAATAGTCAGGTCAGATACCTCAAGGTAAAGCTTGTTATATAGTGTTGTGTTTAGTAATGTGTAATAAATAAACTACACTGTTATGAGTAAATTACTTACTTCTTCGACATTTAGATGACATTAATGAACAAACATAGGTATTTCTTATGTGAATTACACCGAAATCCCTTCAATCGGCCATAATAAACTTTAATAATGTTTACTTGTGTCTGACTACAAAGTTTCTGATCCTGATTTTTGAATGCCTAAAACGGTAATAATACTTACCATTCCTGTTTCTTACTCCATCAGAACCTTGGAATGTGAAGGTAAAGTTAGCCGGAAGTGAGGTCATCTTGACCAGTGGTCTGGGTTTTAGCGCTTTGGTTTCACTTCTTTTAGCTTCTCGAACCTTATAAAACATTAGAAATATTACTTATGAATTAAATCTTTAAGAACACAGATTTTATATTACTTCAGTTGTTCTCCAATGTCACACGGTTACAACTAAGTTAACAACCTTCCCCTTACCTCAGTGGTTCTCCAGTGTCACGCGGTTACAATTAAGTTAACAACCTTCCCCTTACTTCAGTGGTTCTCCAATGTCACACGGTTACAACTAAGTTAACAACCTTCCCCTTACTTAAGTGGTTCTCCAGTGTCACGCGGTTACAATTAAGTTAACAACCTCCCCCTTACTTCAGTGGTTCTCCAGTGTCACACGGTTACAACTAAGTTAACAACCTTCCCCTTACTTCAGTGGTTCTCCAGTGTCACGCAGTTACAATTAAGTTAACAACCTCCCCCTTACTTCAGTGGTTCTCCAGTGTCACGCGGTTACAACTAAGTTAACAACCTCCCCTTACTTCAGTGGTTCCCCCGTGTTATCCGCTTACAATTAAGTTAACAACCTTCCCCTTACTTCAGTGGTTACCCCGTGTTATCCGCTTACAATTAAGTCAACAACCTCCCCCTCACTTCAGTGGTTACCCCGTGTTATCCGCTTACAATTAAGTTAACACCCCCTTACTTCGGTGGTTCTACTGCCCTGCTGTGATACACCGGCTTCTGCAGCTACCTCTTGTTTGATTTGTTCCTCCATATCTAGGTCTTCCTCGTCCTGCGTGTGGGACTCCTCCAAATGTTTCATGAGGACTGCTACCACCACGTTCACAAGCACGAACTGGGCCATCAAGACGAAGACGACAAAGTATATGGGAGCAATGATGGGTGACACACAGCAGTTTGTGACACAGTCACTTGAATAGTCGCAGTTTTCTCGTAAAGTGTCCTAGAAAATAGATGTGCATTAACTACTTTCAAATCTGCCCCTCACATTGGTTTAGGTCGTCCATATTGATTACATTCCATAAACGTTAATAAAATTTACACGGGATACAAGCTAATAAGTGTAAATAGAGTTAGATAACAAAAGGCTTAACTGTTTGCTCATTGCATTCTAGGGCTTCTCAACAGCAGGTTAGGCTGAGTGACTGTATAACATTATACATATAAAAGAAACAAAAAATAACTTTCTACATCTGCACTCGTTTTGCATCTTGCTGAATGCCCCGGGGGGGGGGGTATCTTCTGAAACACCTGAAATCTAAATAACGACTCTGTATTAAATACATATCGCTCAACAGGGAACTAATCACGGCCTGAACCACTAAATTACAATATTTTAAAACTTAGTATCATAGTTACTTTACGGGGTAGAGGGATGGTGAATAATGTAAAGCATACACTAATCTTGTATTAAATACAAACCTTCCAGTTGACTCGTTGTATTAAATACAAACCTTTATTATTCCGTTCCGGTTGTCTCATTGTATTAAATACATTTATTATTCCGTTCCAGTTGACTCATTGTATTAAATACTAACCTTAAGTATTCCGTTCCGGTTGTCTCATTGTATTAAATACTAACCTTCATTATTCCGTTCCGATTGTCTCATTGTATTAAATACTAACCTTCATTATTCCGTTCCGGTTGTCTCATTGTATTAAATACTAACCTTCATTATTCCGTTTCGCTTGTATCATTGTATTAAATACTAACCTTAAGTATTCCGTTTCAGTTGTCTCATTGTATTAAATACTAACCTTCATTATTCCGTTCCGATTGTATCATTGTATTAAATACATTTATTATTCCGTTCCGGTTGTCTCATTGTATTAAAACTAACCTTCATTATTCCGTTCCGGTTGTCTCATTGTATTAAATACATTTATTATTCCGTTCCGATTGTCTCATTGTATTAAATACTAACCTTCATTATTCCGTTCCAATTGTCTCCAGTTGCAACACGGAACAGCGTCAAGAAAGCCATCCCGAAGTTTCGGAAGTGAGCATGTTCTCCTAAACCCTGACACTGAAAATCCTTGTTACATTCTGAAAAATAAAACCACATAAACATTGATCTCTAGTAAACTTTTTAAACTGTCAGATTAGACGTTTAATCAGTAATGATTTAACTGACACGTCAAGCTTCTCGCTGTTCTTCATGTTTAACAAGTTAAAGTAACAGTAAAACATTCTTTTTCTTTAGTCCTAAATATTGTCCTTTTCGGAAAACTGAAAGGTTTTAATCAGTATTTTATAATTTGTCTGTTTGTAGTTAAGCACAAAGCTACACAAAGTGCTATCTGTGCTCTGCCCACCATGGGTATTGAAACTCGTTTTCTAGCGTTGTAAGTCCACAGACATGCCGCTGTGCCACAACCATACCGAAACTGTACACAGTATTCCAAGTGTGGCCAGATGAAGATACCGAAACTGTACACAGTATTCCAAGTGTGGCCAGATGAAGATACCGCAACTGTACACAGTATTCCAAGTGTGGCCAGATGAAGATACCGCAACTGTACACAGTATTCCAAGTGTGGCCAGATGAAGATACCGCAACTGTAC